TAAAACCGTCGATTTTTTTCTACACTCTATTCTTCTTTCTTCTAAAACCCCAATTCATAAATTCTCTTCTAGAATTAGAAAGATGACTAATCCCCAAGATAACCCAGGCACTCCTCCACAACCCACCCCCTCTGATTCATCCACCCCTCCTCCACCTAGCACAACCCCTCAACCTAAGAGAATGCGAATAAAAATGCTTGCTCGCAAAACGGTGGCAACCGGTGCTCTTTCAAGTAAATTGAACGAGAAATTGAAGGCAAGCCAAGCCCAAGATTCTGAGAACTCAGACGATTCGTTCAAATCTGCGAGTGAGGGGGAAGGAATTGGGTCTTCTGACTCTGAGAAGGCTCAAAACTCCCCTTTTGAGGTACGTGTTGCTTTGGTTGAGAATTTAGACAATAGGTTTGTTCTGGTTGGGGCTGTTAGGAATGTGGAATTGCCCGAGTCAAGAAGGAGAGGTGGTAAAAATAAAGGAGAAAAAGAAAAGGAGAGTGAGGGCATGCGTTGTGATGTGAGGGGAAAAGGGAAAGAAGTGGCTAGTTCTTCACCCACTTTTGAATTGGTGGTACCAGCTATCTGTGGGGTTGAACATGCAACTGTGGAAGAAAGTAGCAAGAAGACAAAGGGAAGTGGTTCAGGGGAGACTGCTGAAGGATTGGTTAATTTAAGTTCACAGGCAGATGAACCTGGTTCATCTATTTAGGAGACCCTAGTAGACCTTCTGAAGAAAGTAGGTGCTAGTTATGATCCAAAGAAAAGGAGAACCTCAACACCAAAAGCCCCTAGCACTGCAAAACCTTCCAAGAAAAGAAAGGCTTCTTCTCCAACAACTACTGAGATTTCTTTACCAAAATGAAGTGCCACACGAAGCATGATGAAATAGAGTGAGACTGAATTACAAAAGGCTTTGGCTGAAAGCAAGAAGAAGAGGATAGATAAAGGAAAAGCTAAGGTTTCAGATCCCTCTGAGGTTGTTGATGTTGAGGAGATGGAACAGGTCCATCAGGAGGAACACACAACTGTGGAGGTTTAGACCCCCAAGCCCAAAAAGACCAAGACTTCTTCCAAGAAGTCTTCATCTATGTCTAAGGCTGATAAACCTTCATTGGCCAAGAGGACAAGGTCTGCAGTGAGAAACAAACAGCTTAGACTTGCTGAGGATGAAGAATAGAGTGGTGAAGAAGAGAGTGAGTCTGATGGTGAACAAGACAAGCTGGCCAAGTTTGGCAAAAGAAAATTTTTGAAGGGTAGATTGCTGAAAGACTTGGTGGAACCAAGAATGGTTCGATTGGTTGATGCACTAGTTGTTCAGGGCTGGAAGGACATGGTCCTTCATATGGATGGAAGGCTAGCTAGGAATGAAATCATTGAATTCATGGCCAATGCAGAGGTCAAGGATGGCAGAGCTACCAGCCAAGTGAAAGGAGTTAAAGTGACTTTTGATGCAAAGGAGCTGGGTTAGATCCTTGACATCCCTTCTGAAGGGTATGATGACTACACAAGGCAAAGATGACCATGTCTAGACTCCCTTCCTACTGCCCTTGCAATCACTTGGAGATTCTGTGATGTTGCAGAAGTGAATGAAGCTAAGGCCGTGTAGAAGAGTGAAATGAAGCCATGCCACAAAGTCTTGTTTGAATTTGTCAACAAGTGTTTGCTGCCTAGACAGGAAAGAAGACACACTGCTAATTACATGGACTTGGTGTTGATGGAGTATCTTGAAAGTGTAAGGAAGATCAACTGGCCTGCATTTATTATCAAGCTACTGGACAGGGTTATCAATGGCTCCAAGGCCCATGCTACTCCTTATGGTTTTATTCTGACTACTGTTCTTGATCGCTGCAAGGTGCCACTGAAGAAGTGGGAAATGGCCACAAGTAAAGATCATTTTGAAATCAACACTTTGATTGCTTGTGATAATGAGATCAATGCCATTCCCAATGAACCCGGTTCATCTAGCAGAGGCTGAAGGCTCACCTAGCAGAGGTTGAATCTAAGAGGGATGCTCTCAGAACTGAGCTCACCAAGGAAAATGAGAAGAATGATGGCATTCTTCAAAATATGATGACCCTTCTCCAAGCCCAAAACCAACCCGCTAGCTCTCCCAAGCCTTAGGACTTCTAGCTTTCATCTCCTGAACCTGTCTAGTACCACCAGTGATCCAGATTAGGGACTTCTCTTTCTTTTGCTCATGTTTTAAATATTTTTGCTTTCTTTTTGTGAATTGTGGTAGCAACATATCTCCTATCAATAAAATCTACTATTTTTGTTCTTGATTGATTGTTAATATATCCTTGATAGTTTGAATATGTTTGGTTGATTACTGATGATTAATCCATCATTGCACTTGCAGTTGTCCTCAGTGGCCATGAGTAATTGTTAAAATTCTGGGAATCACACTTTGTTTATGCAACTTTTCGATGATACCAAAAGGGGAAAGAGATATTGTGCTTTATATATTCTTAATAAGTGATGCTTATAACATAATGAACCTGGTCCTTGATGATAGGTAAAATTTTCTAACTTTGTATTGATGGACAAGCTAAGTTCTGATAGGGCCTAAGTGAGTGAAAAGCACTGAGTTTGTCATCATCAAAAGGGGGGAATTTGTTGGCCCAAGTAAAGGTGAAGTTTTGAAGACTGACGAAGGAACTCAAACATGGACCAGGTCCATCTTGTGAAGCACAGTTATGATCAACTCAAACATGTGAGATGCACGCGAAGGAGATAAACCTAACTTATCAGAAATGATATCTCCTGATCATGGAAAGTAGGTCGTGGTTTTATCACCTTTTGAGCCAAGCATTTCCACGTAAAATCTCCATGTTCTTTATTTTCTGTATTTATTATTCCGCAACAGTAGTAGTTGGAACACATAGAAGTGTTGGGATATATACTATTAACCATGGATTTGGTTTAGATATAGTATTTATTATGATAATATTGTTCATTCAATTTTAATAAAGTTTTAATAGATCATATATTAGTCGGTGTCCTTTGCTTATATAGTAGATGATTTAGTGTATAGAGTTTAGCTTATACACGGAAGATTAAATCATTGGTTCTTATAAGTATAAAGTTTGAGTTCACAATCTAATGATGGAATTGGACAAACAATCAGGAATAACTGTAGTACAAGATTAAATATAATTTATCTTCATTATGGGAATGGTTTAATTCCAACTTCTTGTGCTAGTACATTTTGTATGTATTGAACGGACCAAGTAGAGATAAGTATTTTATACTGACTTAATAAAATAAACTCTCTAGCCATTAAATGTACTTATACTCTTAATCTTGATATAATTATTATTAGATGTGTATATTATTATTGTTTTGATTTATTAAAAGGCGAGATTCTTTCGTGGGTCAATATGCCTGGTAAATTGGATAATAATATGTACATTGGCGAAGTAATAGTTAGTTGATGGAATCCATGTCTCCGTTTAGAGATTGATGATAAACCTTTATGAAAGCTTATAAGTTTTCATGTGTAAACCCGGCCGGTGGATTTTGTATCCGACACATGAAATAAGTTAAGCGAAAGTCTAAAGGAAATAATCAATAAATTAAATCGTCAGTAATTTAATTTAATTGATTAGTATCTGAATCTTAACATGGGGAGTTAAATAAGAGTTAATGGATGAATTTCGAAATTGAATAAGGAGTGCAATTACGAATTTTTAGTGGAATAATTCATAATTAATTATGGTGGATATTAATTTCGAGAATTATAAATTAATTCCATAATTGGAAGCCTTGTTAATTAAATTTTGTGGTTCCTATTGTGCCTAAATAATAGAAAATAAAGGAATCCTTTTTCTGATGGAAAAGAAAACCCAACAAGTTTTGTAAAAGGGTTTTAACCCTTAAAACTTGTGCTATAAATACATAAGTTTTTCCACCTAGAAGGGGAGCACATGGTGGCCGAATTTCAGCCCCTTTTCCTTAGAAATTTCACCCACACGAAATTACTATTTCCGGGTATTATTTGGGTAACACAGTAGAAGACGGTGGAACGTTCGGAGATCGTGATCGTGCGGGTGGTAGAGAATTCATTGAGTTGCTGTAGAATTGGACGCTCACGTGATAAAGGAGTTTTGCTCACGCTTCAAGAGGTAACCCGTGAAATCCTGTTTATGCTAGTTGTCTAGATTACATGTGATTTTGATACTGGGATTGCTTCCGCTGCATATAATAATCCATCAAGAAGAACTAGATCCTTCTATAATCAAGCTAAGAGAAAATTGGGTACCACACAAATCATCCCCTCTTATGTGGTATTGAAGTATAAAATATCAATATGTCTTTGTATTTTTAGGAGCTTGAAGAAGAAACACATAGAACCCCGGGCCTCTCTAATCTCCAAAGGAGGATAAAAGAGAGTGAGTTTCTTTTTCTTCTGAATTATTTTTCTTTCGAGAAGTAACATTATCATTGAAATTGAAATATAATAAAAATAAATGCAGTTGTTCGAGTGCTTTCAAATTTGAAGTCATTGAGGCAAGAAGGTGTGACACGTAAGGATTACGTTGATCAACTTAAAAGGGACTTGTGTTCATATTATGGATACAATGATTTTGTGATTGAAGCATTAGTGGAGATAATTTCTAACTCAAACTAGTCTAGACTCTGCACCCTTTCCCTTTTCATTTCAGTGTGAATGATATGTGACCTTACTGCTGTTGAGCTGATTGAACTTATTGAAGCATTTGAAAAGCCCCGGCCTATTTCTCTGCGGACAAACACTTTAAAGGTCATATTTTTCTCTGCCTCTTTTCTATCCTTAACTTTTGTCGCTCTGATGGTTGACTCATAGTGTATTATTGCTTTGACGGGGTTGAAGCGATTTAGCTGGTGTTCTTCTTAACAGAGGTGTCAATTTGGACCCATTAAGCAAAGGTACAAGGATTAACTGTGTTTTCTTTGGGTTGACCCATTATTTAGGTATCAATGTTATTTCATATGTATCCTCCTTAGTTGGTGCTACTCCCGAGTACATGGCTGGTCATTACATTTTAAAAGATGGCTTTGCACCTGTAATGCTTATTTCAAACAAATTACTTGCTTACAGCTCCAAGGTGCGAGTTCTTAGTTTTATGCCCGTAATGCCCCTTGCCCCTCAGGAGAATGAACGTGTTGTTGATATGGCGTAAGTAAATAATTTTGTCTACTAATGTTTGCTTCGATTGTCCATCATTGAATTTTTCACTATTCAGTTAGTTTTTAATTGAGATCTTTTTTTATTATCTTTTCATCATCATTTATGTATCAGTAAGAATTAACAAGTTGATTGCTGTAAGAGTTGTCCAGTGCATATTTAGATAGTCTAGGAAAAAGCTAATGTAACAAAATAATGCATCTTCTGTTCCTCTTCACTTGTATTTTCTCTTTTCTTTCTTTAGATCAGCAACTTTGTCCATCTTAGGTTCAAGTTATCCATTTTTAATATCTTTTCCGTTGAGAGGGCAGCTAAATTTTTATTTTTATTTTTTATCAGGTAAATGATATCATTAAAAAAGGGAGAAACTCTCGTATACAAGCGGTATATCAAAAGATAGAGAATCTGCATCAAAACATGATTCTCTACAAAAGACACCCAATCATCTATACAAGTAGGGACTACATTGGTGAACCAAAAAGCAATCAAAGACAAGACTATTCCTTAAATGTGCAAAATTATTTTCAATCCCCTCAAAAGCTCTCCTATCTTTTTCCGTTCAAACGACCCACATGAGTGCTAACGGAGCAATCTTCCGTGCCTTTTGTACGGAAACCGGACCAGCTATGCAGCATGTCTCTAACAGTGCCTGGCGTCGCCCATTGAACACCAAAAAAGTTCAGGATTACCCTCCACAAGCCCGTTGACACAGAACAGTGCAACAAAAGATGATCACCTTCTTCCCCCGAGCATTTACACATATAGCACCAGCTGATGTGTGTAATACCTCTCTTCCTCAGATTGTCAGCTGTCATAATCACTCCCCTCGCTGCCAACTATGCAAAAAAGCACACCTTCCTAGGTACCCTAGGAATCCAAATCGATGTGTGTGGGGAAAATGCCTCCTCTCTCACCAACAAACTCTGGTAGAAGGACTTGACTGTGAACAACCCATCACTCCTCAATGCCCATCTCCATGAGTCACCATTAGACTGGGGCCTGGTTTTCCTGTATAGCAACTCCAACAAACTTGGAACTCCCCTATCACCCATTCTTGTAGGTTCCTTCTGAACGTGAGATCCCATACTACTTCCCCCTCATGTTCCTTGCGAATCTGGTGAACCGTTAACTCTCTCTGATTTGAAGCTCTGAATACACGAGGGAATGAAGTCCTCAATGCATCCTCCCCGCACCACTTACGATTCCAAAAGCTAAAACAATTTCTGTGGACTGTTTAACCGTTGGTTCGGTAAGCAGAAAAGTGGACTTCTTTTGGTAACTTCTGCTCTTCTAAAGTGGGCAATTTGTACATGGTGCAGTGCTGCTCCTGGAAGCAAAACAACTTATTTTGCTGCACTGATGAAAAATAGTGGTATGTATTCATTTGCAGTTAATCGTGTGATATTTTTGTGAAGAAATCCATTTTCTCCATGGTGCATCCATAGTTTCTGGATACCGATGGGTGAATGAATTTTAAATAGATATTTCGTCTGGGGTGTCAATTTTCTTTATTGCCATTTCCTGGTAAAAAATTCGTTGTTTTCCATTTCTTGTCCTGTTAATTTCTAATGCAGTGAACCAAAATATGCTGGGTGCTTTCGTTGTATTTTACTATGCGCTCATGTACATCATTCTTAGTCATGTGGTTTACATTAGCCTGTGCTGTCAATCTGTTTGCTTGCTCTAGTGAAATTTCTTCAGGTTCTTGTTTGTTTAAAAAAAATAGATTGTATTGAATGAACATCTTCTCCTGATGTGCTTATATACTGCCTGTTGTTTGTCATAAGCTTTTGTGACATAATAATAAATGCCATGATATTTTTTCTAACTTCTCTCTTCTCCCTGGTTCTGGTTTTGAAGTTAATTGTAAGTAAAACTGTCTTCCATATTGTTGGTTAACATCATTTGCCATTTCAATCATTGTCTGAATGGAACTGACATATTTCACTTTGGAAATTAAAATTAAGTTTTATTTATGCAAATGAGATGAAGGAGACAAGACTTAAATCGCTCACTGCTAATTTACATCGCATGGGGGTAAAAAACACTATTGTCTGTAACTATGATGGAAGAGAGGTTAGAACCAGGATATTTTGCAATCTACCATTTAGAACTTGCTGCATTTTATATCTCATACAATGTTGTTCTACCTTCTTCCCCGCAATGAGCACTCATTCTTGTTGGCTGAAGTAGCTCTATACTAATTTCATTGAGCTATAGGCACTGATTTGACAGATTTTGCTGGCCTTGTGTCTCTGTTTCTTGGTTTACATAGTGATAATATATGGTTAAGTCCTCTGATCTAATACCTTGTCTGGGAATCATTTCAGCTGCCTAAAGTCTTTGGTCAGAACACTGCTGATAGGATTTTGCTGGATGCTCCCTGCAGTGGCACTGGGGTATGTGGTAATGTTTGATGTATATGTTTGCCTGCAATCATATTTAATCAGATGTTTTTCGTTTGTTCTGCAGGTAATCTCCAAGGACGAGTCTGTTAAAACTTCCAAAACCGCTGCTGATATACAAAACTGCTCACAACTGCAGAAGGTATAAATGAGTTTGACGTGTAAATGTGGCGATTTTGTGTCATCCATATTCGTAGACTTGCAATCATGAAAATTTTAGTGAACTGGTTGTATGCTTGAGAGCTTGTTATGCTTCATAAGAGAACCCGTATAAAGCATATTGCCAGCATCTGACTTCTCGGGCTGTTAGAAAATACTGGTTTCTGGAATTCTGTAATTTTGGAGAGATTAAGTTACCAGGATAATTGAACATTATCTTCTTTGTTTCTAATAATTGATTTCATTGATCTTATTTGTTGTATAGGGGCACAGATTTTGCAATTCTAGTTGCCTTTATTTTTGCGTGTGTTGTTATATGCACCCTCCGAAAGCAGGAGGGTGTTGGTGATGGTATTAGAAGGTTCATCTCCCTCCCTCCTGCAACAATGTTAATTTTGCTCCATAATGTTTATTTTTATCTCATATTCCCTTTCACATATTGTTGTCGCCTACTGGCCTTTGAGAAACCTGTTTCGCGGTCAATTTTCATTTACAGGAACTGATACTTGCAGCGATTGACATGGTTGATGCCAACTCAAAATCAGGTGGATACATAGTGTATTCTACCTGCTCCATTATGGTTGATGAGGTATCTTTCTAAACTTAAACGTCAAAAAATGTTACCTTTTTAAGTGTTTGTATGCATGTCAATTTCTACTTATTTATTTAACTCGGGTATTGCAGAATGAAGCAGTTATAGACTATGCACTCAAGAAGAGAGATGTTAAACTTGTGTCATGTGGTCTTGATTTTGGGAGGCCTGGGTATAGCTTGTGTTATTGATGTGCATTTACTTGAAAGGTGTTTAATTCTACAACTAACTAAAGCTGCTTTGAGTCCCAGATTTATTCGCTTTATGCAGCACCGCTTCCACACATCTTTGGACAAGACAAGGCGATTCTATCCTCATGTGCACAACATGGATGGATTCTTTGTAGCAAAGGTGTATGCCGTATCATTTGGTGATAATTTGTGCTGTCAATAGCTGCATAGCAAATGCATTACTCAAGAGTTCAGTTTATTGAAATAGAGAGAATTATGGACCAACGAGAAGTATGAGAAATCCTTCAGCATGAGAAGTATCAAGTTGAGAGCTCTAATACAGGATTCAAAGTCCTACCTCTTTACAGGTCATTGATGTCTATTCTTAAAATTGATTACAAAGCCCCAAGTGAAGTACAAGGATAAGCACATTAGTTATTCTGCCTTAGTAATATCATTCAATTCTCCTGTGTAAGTCCTTTTTTTTTTTTTTTTTTTTTTTCAAAATAATTTTTCCCATTTTGTTCTGCTTGTTTTATATAGTTTTGCGCATAAGCCATAAATATCTTCGAATACTATACGCACTAGGTTTTGTGTGCATCTCTTCAATTCTCAGGCTGCTGTTTTAACTCTATGTAGGTATCTAGCTTATTCATGTCAAACAAATATTTTATCCTTTCATTAAGCTTGTGAGAAATTGAAATGCTTATGGATTTTTACTTATAAAAGATAGAAGAAATGATCATGGTTTCTGGGAGTGAAATATAAATTTTGACCGACACATGTGGCTGTAAAAATGAATGAAAGATTATGAACATTTCTTCATTGAAGTTGCTGCAAGTTTGTTTCAGTTGAGAACATTTTGCTCCATGTGTCCTTTTTTCCCTTCAGTTGAAAAATATGAGCAACTCCAAATCTGCTGCACAATCGTCGGCTCAGTCTGAAGAAATACAAGGTGCTGATACCATTGAGAGCATTGACCTACATAATGTTGAAGGGGATGACAAGCATTCAGAGCAAAAAGGCATTGCAGAAGAGAATGGGAAATTGAATGAAAAAGTAGCGGCTGATAAAAAGAGGGAGATGCATGTCCAAAAGCATTCAGATAAAAAAGTTGTTGGACAAAACGGTGGTGTAACTAAAAATGGGAGGGCAGAAATCGGTAAAGTGTTTTAGTTCCACGATCACGAGTTGGTAAACACTGATGTGCTAATGGAACAGATTTAATTTCAGATCATATAACCTATTCTAGTATTCAACGTTTTTGCAGGGAAGAGAAGAGGATAGCAAAGCGAAAAGCCATGAGGAAGAAAAAAGGTGGAAACCAATGAGTTCTCTGTAAAATGGTAGTTTTGCGATATGAGGAGGATATTTTATCAGAGGCGACATGAGCAAACACAAAACTAAAGTTGTTCTCTGGCGATGTTGTTAAGCTTAACTCTGGAATTATTAGCAGCTGCCAGCTGGTGGTAATATTTCTGCTGTTGGTTGATGAGTTTGAGATAAAGAGGGTTGGTGATCATATATGGTTTGCTTTAGAAAAATGAAAATTAGGATTCATGGTTGCACGAATCCAGAATTCCCTTTCCTGACCGAAGTCACTAAGGAATGAGAAGATTGGAGGCTGATGAAAGGACACTCTTGAAGAAGCTTTCTTTTGAAAATGGACGACCCAAAGCCCCTTAATCTCGGCGGCTAGGTTGGCACATAGTATAAAAAAATATTCAATGAAGCTTTCTTTTGTCTTCATCACCGGTTCACCAATAGTTAGCTAACATTTTTTCCTGACTGGTCCAAAATTTTGTATCTGTAGTTGATGTTATACTTTATTCCTTTTGAGAGTGAGCAATGAAAATTATAAAGAGAAAAGTAGTTTGTATTCCGTCATCTATGGCAATCCTCATTCATATATTCTGTATATCTTAATTCTTAGCGAGTAGCTTATGTTTATGATTTCCGCAAGACTTGGCGTGCTTCTTGTTGTTAATCCTTCATTGTCTATGCCTAACAAAAGTGCTTATATTATTTCTTTCATACAAGAGCTAATTAATAAGGACTAATGTTTTCATGTTAGAGAAAAGAAGTTGGAATACATAGGCAAATAAAACTATACGTATTATATATCCCTTATGCAGGCATTATTGGAAGGCTTTCCTGTTGTGCACGCAGAGAGTGCAAGTCACTGCCATTAGCAAGGCTATTGAACTCCACAGATTTGGATGGCATTGTTGTCGTTGACAGAATAGGATGTCACCAGTCTTTTAACTGAGTAGAGGTATTTCCTAGTTGTCTCATTGTTCATGATATGAGCAACACTAACATTATTCTGTGTGAGCTGAACGTTCGTGAATACCAATTGATATATTAATGTATCGATCCCATTGCAGCTGAATATTCCCTCTTCCTACAGCATTCAACCATCACAATCAGTGCTTGCCTTTAACTTTTTCCTGCACAGCTCGAATAACATAACGGATTCAAGTCCCTAGCACATAGCTACCCTCCAGTTTTGATCAGCCTGATTAGGACTCCTCATTGTTGAAAAACACCAAAATCTTATCCTCATCACACAATTCCTCAAAATTCATCGTCTTTATCCTCATCTGTTGTGGCCTCAGTCAACTCATCCCTGATTGTCGCTTCTTCAATTCCAGAATTGATCTCAAAAAGTCATTGGTTTGCCCCTCAGTCATATCACTATCATCAACTTCAAACAATCCAGCTTTCAGTACAAAATTCAACCTATCAAGCCTTGCCGCCTCAACTTCTCCAAATAAAGTCACCGGTTGTTTTAGAAACCTTAGGCGGCGAATAAGAAGGGAGGCTGATGATGAATATTCCGGTTTGATCTTTGGGGCTTTGTATGTCGGAATTATCAACGGTAGAATTCCTGTAATAATTGCTTTTTACGTAGGGCTTTCGCTTCGGCTTCACGTTGTTCCTCTTTTTAGGCGTTTCTGTTCAATCTCCAACTTATTGAAAATTTTCCGGCCATGGAGGTCTTGGGCTAGGATTTCTCGTATCTTTTCTGCTTCCTTGTTTCACTGTATCCATGTCGTGAATTGGAGGTTTAGAGAATCTCATAATCACTTGCATTTCTTTGCATAGCAAAACTTAAACCCAAGCCGCGTAGGATTTGAATTCCCTTTTATAAATGGTTTTGCATACCAAACCTAAAACCTAAGCAGTGTAGGATTCGATTTCCCCTTTTTGAGAAATGTATATTTTTGTTGCTCCCAAAAATAATTATGTGTATTGTATACATATGATACAGGAATTGGGATCAGCTCCGGTACAAATTGCTCCAGTAATTGTCAATGGAGTGTTTGATTAATGCCACGTGTCATTAACCATTTAAACTGCATAGATTGCATTTAGCCCATCTATTTTGAAAAAGCTTCAAAATCGAAAACAAAGGAAGTAAACTAGCCAATACAACGTATCAAATGCTCTAATATTATTCGGATTTTCAGATCAATACAAACGACCATGATTGAATGGGAGACAGAGAAGAAATAAAGTAATAGAATTACGGATGAACATAAATGTGAGAAGAATAGTGTCCTTCTTTAAGGTATATTTTGATTTGCATTTCTTAAATTAAAACCATGACATCTTCATTAAATAAAAATGTTGGTTTGTCATATAATAGAGCAAGTGCATACTCAAAATGTTTCTCACATGGAAATGTGATTCAAATGTGACTCAAGAATGCAAGATTGTGGCAAAAGATTACACTACATTGAGTTTCACAATCCGACATTATTTACGTAATCATATTATGAGCCCGTTTGGATTAGCTGATTGCAAATAAATGATAAGCTTGAAGTGGTGAAAAATATTTTTAAATGCTGAAACTAATTTTTAAAATAAGCATTTACGCGTTTGGATAGAAGTGCTGAAGCTGATAATAAACAGTTGATGTGTTTGATAAAAAAGTGCTGATAAGCTATTCTTTTGTTAAAATGACTAAAATAACCTTAAATTTTTTTTAAAAGATTATAAATTAAAAAAATTCTTTATAAAGAAAAGAATTAACAACCAATATGGAATGAAGAGAAAGTCAGGAAATTTATTTTGGAAAAAGTATTTTGTGAATTAGAAAATATTATTAAGAATAAACTAATAGAAATGTTGGTCAAACTAAAAGTGCTTATAAGATGTAATGCCATAAGTGATCAACGTACGATTGATTTTACCTTATAAGCATTTTTAGTTTGACCAACACTTTTAAATTAGTTTGACCAGCTTAACCAGCTTATAAGTTTAGCGAAACCTTTTGATAATAGCCTAGATTTATATAATTTGGCGATTGTTTATGCCCCAGCTTTATCATGTTTCAATGTTATAATGTAGTTAAATGATGAAAAATGGGCTCTAATTGTGAATTTCACATGTTGCAGGAGTGAAGAGCTTGTATGAGGCCTTAAAGCTGTGACTGGAGCTACATTGAAGCAAGAAAAATCCCTAGGAGCTGAGTACGCGAGAAGACGAGAAAAAAAGAATAGATGAAATGAAGGCCTGGACTAGCGCGTCCACTAGCGCGACCGCGCTAGCCCAGGTGGTCGAGGCAGAATGGTAGCCCACTAGCGCGGCCATTAGCGCGTTCACGAGCGCGGCCGCGCTAGCCTAGTTCCGGAATATTAATTTTCAGGGGTAAACTTGGAAGTCTGGGGGTAAATTCACTTAACCTATAGAAGGTCAAGCTCGCCCAAGGATTGATTATCAAGGTTTTCATAGCTTAATGCAAGAAAAGGAGAGGCAAGAGGCAAGGAGGATAGTTCAACATCGAGTTCTTCCTTTCTTCCTTTTGTTTTTACGATTTGTGATGAATTTGAATATTATTATGATGAACACTAGTATGAGTAGCTAAACCCGTTATCTAGAGTTGATTGAACCAATTTGGCTGAAGTTTTGACTCAACTCGTTATAATCGAGCCGGATTTATTATATGATTGTTCAACTACGTTTTGTATGGTGATTGATTGAATGGGCCCTCGATTAATCGTGTCTAATTACTTCATATTGCTTGAGAAAGAATATTAGGTTAGACTGTTGTTGAACAACACCACTTTTGGGTAATTGAAGAGATTCATTACTTGAACTTAAAAGTGGGTTTTAGAGATAACGAAACTTTGGTGGGATAATTTAGAGCTGCGCATATTGTCAACTAGAGTAGTTCGCGAGAATGCTCTAGTAAATTATTGTAGTTGATCGAGAGATAATTATGATAACCCATAGCTCTTAATCATCATAGAGTATTACGGCGAGATTATAGCGAAAGAGTCAAGACCGAAGCTAGCCATTGGGGAAATCACTGCCCTAGACCTATTTACTATTGAATTATCTTTACTTTAGCTTATTGTTGTTTTTAATATTATTTGAAGTAGTTAAACAAAAATCCAATCTTTATTGATCAAAATCTTGCATCTAGAAATTGGTTGAGTTGATAATAACATTGCCAAAAAGTTGTAATAGATAGGTTAGTTCCCTGAGGATTCGACTCCGGACTTAAAACCGGATTATATTTGCAACGACCGCTTTGTCTTTTAGAAGGCGTAGTTGGGCGTGATCAAATTTTGGCGCCGTTGCCGGAGAGCTAATGGTGTTATTTATTACAACTTAGGAGTAGTGTTAGAATTATTAGTTTAAATCAATTTCAAAGGTGTTAAACAATTTTCATTGAAATTCTAACGTTTGAACTCTTGTGGAATTCAGGTGTATGCCTAGAAATTCTTCGAGGACTGGAGAACTGCTGGAAGGACTTTCAGACCTCGAGAAAACATTCAGGGCATTGAACTGTGCCAACAAGAGGATCCAACAATCACGACAACAACACCATCTTGAAATTGACATGGGTGACGTAGAGAACGTCAACGGAAATATCAGGGATGAGCCAGCTGACCCAAACGTCAGAGTGGTGGCACCTCTTGTGCCAGAAGCTGCACTTTATGATTGGGCTCAACCCACAGCTGACAACCTGGCAACTGCCATAGCTGTGCCCCCAATTCAAGCGGAGACATTCCAGATCACCAACAACATGCTGCATCTTCTGCAGAATAAGGGATTGTTCTCAGGGTCACACATTGAAGACCCTCAACAATACTTGAAAAATTTTCTGTCAATTTGTGTGTCCCAAAGGCAGCCAAATATGACCCCAGAAGCTATCAAGCTGTTACTGTTCCCGTTCTCTGTGACTGGGGAAGCTCAGACTTGGCTGAATTCGCTCCCAATCAATTTCATTGTCACCTGGGAGGAATTAGTCAAGCAGTTCCTGAATAAGTTCTACCCGCCCAACAAGACTGCAAGGCAGATTGATGAAATATTGCAGTACAAGTAGCAGCCGACTGAGACCTTGCAGGAAACTTGGGAAAGATTTAAAGGGATGCTAGTGAAGTGTCCTCACCATGGCATTCCAGACCAGATGCTCGGCCAGAGGTTCTACATGGGGTTAGCTGACAATCTAAAGGCCAATGTGGATGCTTCAGCTGGAGGTGTATTTTTGAGTAAGACATTCACCGAGTGCAAAGTTCTTCTTGACAAGATGTCCCAGAATTCGGGGTGGATGACTAGAGGTACAACACTGGCACCCATAGTGCATTCAGTTCCTCTTGACCCAAATAATTCACATGCAGAGAATGGCCACACTCATGACTCAGATGAGTATATTGACAAAGAAGATTGATGAGATGCGTACAAAACAGGTACATATTGTTGACACAACAAATGGAGGACTGTGTACACCCTGTGTTAATCAGTCTTATGTGTGTTCATGGAGCGGAGAAGGTGACAATCAAAGGGCAAGAGAAGATATGAATTATGTTAACAACTTTGGGGGTCAGAGACAAGGAGGACAGCAGTGGAGACCGGCACCAAATCAGC